GGGAACCATAGCGTGAAGCTATGTGCCATATACTCATGGGATGTGATTTACTAAGTCGGGTTCAGGCACCAGCGTACAATCAGATGTTTTTAGAATACCAGTGCAAGGAAAAACAGCGGTGCCACTACTCAGCAACCAATCAGATGCCCTCATCCATTTTTAATGACAGCTGGAATCCGATTGGTTGTTGTGATGCCGGGGCTTCTTTCTATTGACTTTTTATAACTGAGCACTAACATCGTGAACATACGTTACTGCTGCTTTGTAAGGTACAATGTAGGATTTAAAATAAGAGAGTGCATCAGTTTTGTGAGGCCTGAATCCCTTAAAGGGACAGTCCAAACCTCCAAAAGGGAAAATTCCCAGTAGCTCACCTACTGTTCTGCTGCTACGTTATAAAGGGCCTCATTCACACGAGAATCGTCCGGCACGTACAGCTCCGTGCTGCGTGCACGGCCGTATCGCGCAGCTTCCGGGGACGACAGGTGCTGCGTGTGATTAGTACGCAGACCCCGTCCTTCTCTATGGGATTACGGTGCCATACGCCGCCCTACGCTCACCCGCCCTGCACGTCCGTACAGGTGTCCGTACTCATGCGCTGACAGGATGGATCCTGTCGGTGTCCGAGCCGGGACACCCGTATGGACCTGCACTTGGGGTGAGTGTAGGACGGCCTACGGCCACGTACTCTCATAGAGAAGGACAGGGGCTGCGTACTAATCACACGCAGCACCTGTCCTCCCCGGGAGCTGCCCGATACGGCCGCGCACGCAACGCGGAGCTGTACGTGCCGGCCGATTCTCATGTGAATGAGGCCTTATAAACATTGCTGTCTTACCAATCACGATCTGCAGAGGAATTATCAATGTTTCTATTTCTCCTTCTTCAGGATCAACCCCCCTCACTGGACTCTCTGACAATAGATCGCCATGGACCTGGGACTTTCCCAGCCTCCCGCCACCAGAACTAATCCACTAAAATATAACAATCCTTATTTTCCAAAAAGAACCATTATTTGTAGCATTAAATGCAGAAAATAAACGGCCACTATAGGAAACGTATAACACAGTTTAGCGAAATCGACATTGATGGCAATTTTTGGGTGGTGTAAATTGGCAGGAAAAATGTTTGCATATAATAACAGGAGGACGGTTTTTACGACCTGCTGATATTTGTCCACACAACCAATTTTGCTGGGTTACCTTTTCCTTTGGGGATAAACACAGAGTAAGCGCCCAGAACAGCTCCAAAAACACAAAACTTTCAGAATTAATAATGATCAATTTCGACCTTTAGTTAAAAAAAATGCCCCGTAAGGTTGCTCCACCTCCTCCTGCCAGCATCTCCGATGGCCTCTCTGTCCTTGGACGCGTCGCAGTTGATCGCTGTACAGTAAATAGTTCTGCACAGAGCCCATGTCCTGACACCGGGGGGGGGGGG